GTTATAAGTATGCTCAGTGAACCGAAGGGAAGAGTAGAGGAACTCAGTGAGAACTTTAACAAAGAAATAGAAAACATAAAAGTGGAGACGGAAAACATAAAAAGAACCAGTCAGAAATAAAGAACACAGTAACTAAAACGAAGACTACTTTAGGAAGAATAAACAGTAGATTAGATGAAGCAGAGAATCGAATCAGCAATTTAGAAGATAACAGAAAACATCCAATCAGAACAGCAACAAGAAAAAAGAATCCAAAAAAATGAGAATAGTTTAAGGGGCCTCTGTGACAACATCAAGCACACCAACATTTGCATAACAGGGATACCAGAAGGAGAGAGAGAGAGAGAGCAAGGAATTCAAAATTCATTTCAAGAAATAATGACTAAAAATTTCCCCAACCTGGTGAAGGGAATAGACCTACAAGCGCAGAAAGTGCAGAGAGTCCCAAACAAGATGAACCCAAAGAGGCCCTAAGACACATCATAATTAAAATGCCAAAGAGAGAATCTTAAAAGCTGCAAGAGAAAAAACTAGTACATATAAGGGAGCTCCCATAAGACTGTCAGCTGATTTCTCAACAGAAACTTAGCAGGCTAGAAGGGGCTGAGAGGAAATATTCAAAGTGATGAAAAACAAGGATCTACAACCAAGATTACTCTACCCAGCAAAGCAATCACTCAGAATCAAAGGACAAATAAAGGGCTTCCCAGACAAGAAAGAGCTAAAGAAGTTCATCGTCACCAAGCCAGTATTATAGGAAATGTTAGAGGAACTTCTTTTAGAAGAATAAGGAAAAAGAAAAACATATCTTGCAATAATTACTTTAAATGTAAATGGATTAAATGCTCCAATCAAAAGATATGGTGGCTAAATGGATAAGAAAACAAGACCCTTACAAAGGATGCCCACAAGAGGCTCACTTCAGATTGAAAGACACACACAGACTGAAAAGGATGAAAAAAGATGTTTCATAAAAATGGAAACAAACAAAAAGCGGCAGTAGCAATACTTATACAAGACAAAAATAGACTTTAAAACAAAGGCTATAACAAGAGACAAAGAAGGATCCAGTAATCTTACTCTGTGTATTTATTTGAAGAAATCCAAAACACTGCTTTGAAGGGACATGTGAATTCATATGTTTACTGCAGCATTATTTACAATAGCCAAGATATGAAGGCCTTTATCCAACCATCTATTGATGGACTTGGGTGTCCATCAATAGATGGATGGATAAAGAAGAGGTGGTATATATATACAATGGAATATTACTCAGGCATAAAAAAGAATGAAATCTTGCCATCTTCAACAACACAGATGGAACTGGAGAGTATTGTGTTGAGTGGAGTAAGTTAGATAGAGAAAGGCAAATATCATATATGGAATCTAGAGAACAAAATAAAAAACAAACAACAGAAACAAGCTCATAGATACAGATCGCATTTTGATGGTTGTCAGATTGGGAGGTAAGGGGATAGGTGAAAGGGGAGGGGATTAAGAGGTACAAATTAGTAGTTACAAAATAGTCACGGTGATTTAGAGTATAGCGTGGAGACTATAGTCAGTAGTATTATAATAACTATATACGGTATCACATAGGTACTACATTTATCAGGGTGATCACTTCATAAGTTATATAAATGTCTAAATACTGTGTTGTACACTGAAATTAATATAATATTGTATGTCAACTATAATTTCAAAAAATTAAAATATAAATTTTTTTTAACTCCAAATTTGCATTAATATCTAATTTTGGTCAATAATGTACTGATATCTTCATCAGAAATTCATTGTAATTTATATTTAGTAACTAAAAATAATAGCTATTATCAGAAAAAAAGAAATCATTATCTAATTTGCCTTAAGGATTGTGGGAAATACAGCTTGCTAGTTTAGAGAGGCAAACGTACTCAACAGACAGCTTAGAAAGCTAATGTTATAAATTATAAAATGTGACATTTTCCCAGAAGTTCTGACCGACTTAAAAAAATTAATTTGATCAAGTTTAAAAGGCATTCCTCAAATGAAGAGACAAAGAAACCAAAACCAATAAACTTAGGGATAAATTAATTTAAAATAGTCAAGGACAAAGAAAAAGATTAGAATAAATGAAATGACAGACCATATTCTTAACTGTGAAGGTTCAAA